TTTTCTGTTGGTCTATCCAAATGGTAGAACATTCACCAACATTGCACGAATAGCTTTAGTCGATTAAGTTTGAAAGATGTAACAAGTTTCAAACGATCAAAGGCTTAACATCGTTATCAAAGCATTTTACATTGAAAGCTTTCATATAATGAGGCCTACAATTAAGACTAGTTGATTATTCCATGCAACTCATACTTCAGTAATCTGTCAGGGAAAAGACAGAATTCACCTTTCTTTCTACAACGTTAAAGTGACTAAGTTTCCGTTGTTAACATTTTTTAATCACGTCATGACAAAAATTTTTTCTTGTAATTGGCCCCTTAGGAGCTTTTCACCTTTCACAAAGACAATAAGTAATCCTTCTATGCATTTGAACAAAAAATTCATTAGAATCTACTTCTTTTTGCGTTTTAATGTCGTTATGCAAAGCAAATATGCATGGTGTTGTAGGGTAAAATACATGAGACGATAATGAATTTATAGACTAGACTTTAATTTTGTGCAAATATTCATTGAATCTTGTAATCATATGTTGCTAAGTTAATGTTACGAGAGAATTTAAGGGCGTTCTGTTTTTCCCGAGTTTCTACTACTAAAAATATAGTAGACAGTCGTAGAAAAACGAGCAAAAAAACAGTTACGGCTCTCGTTCATTGCAAGTCTAAACCTTAATCTATGAAAACTGCACTTCTATGCACTCAACCACATAGTGCATTAGAGACAGACAGCAAATTTAGTGTATTTGTATTCATTGCATATATTCAGTTATAACTAGTGTGACATTGAAGAAACAAACAAAAAATCAGTAGCATCAATGAATTGAGATTTTCACAAGATAGTCACTTACATTGGAAGTTTCCAGCCGTAGGATGTATTGTCATAAATGATATCGAAACAAGTCGCTACGTGTGTCACACATTTCATAAGGGTTTTCCTCTTTCAAATTTCTTTTTGCTGCTGCTATCAACATTTACGACGTGGTACTGAGGGTATATATCTGTACATCGTGGCTTTCAAATGTTTAAATATGTGCGGTATGTCCTTGTTCAGTAGCATTCAGATATTGGCGGTCTCGATTTTTTATCAACACGTTTAAATACATCTGCAATTGAATGAGACGTGTTTCGGTAACTTGTCATCAAGGAGAGTTGAAGGCAACAACTTTATTTTGTATAGCACAATCACAAATCTTTATACTTGTCGTTTATGTGTAAAGTCTTGTTCCATCTCATATGAACAACATCTGCCTTCCATGACGCCTCGTGGTTTATATGTGGCTTGAAGTGAATGGTATATTTATAAATAGTGTTAAGCATGTCATTATATGTATTTATTCAACATGATTGTTTTACCCTCTGGGAGCCGTGTCTTTTCAAAAGTTCGTAAACATCTTGTTTGTTGATTGTTGCCTGTGAGCATCAACTGCCTCTAGAGGGTTAAAACTCACAGTTTTTACTTGAACAAATTACGGGATATCTATTAAATCTAATTTTTAAAAACAATACATATTGTTGTCAAACAAAAGAACTATGCTCTCCCTACATTAATATATATGAAATGCTAGTAACAATTGACTATTTTTCTGTGATATTACGCCATTATTTATTAATTAAACATATTCAGCCTATTAAATAACGCTAATATTATAATTTTGGGCTTGAAGATGTTGGTGACGTTAATGAGAAGGCCTTAAACCATTCTCACAGTATATTAGCACAGAATCATGACTATACAGAAGGGTCACTCAGGCAGCCAACGTGTCCTTACAACGGCCATTATTACAGCCAGTTTATTAGGGTTTTTGACTTTTTCCCAACCTTCAAAATGATCCAAAGTCATTTCTAAAGTCAAAATATTCTCGAATTCATTACTAAGTATTGATGTCATGTAATTTTAATGGTTGGAAACCTGTAACAAACCCTAATCAACTGGCTGAAATAATGGCCGTTGTAAGGACACGTTGGCTACCTGAGTGACTCTTCTGTATAGTCATGATTCTGTGCTAATATTGATTTGGGCTTGAAGATGTTGATGGCGTCAGAACGCCTATAAAGCATTCTCTTGACCTTAACTTATCAAGATATAACTGCAAGATTCAATGAAGATTTGGTCAAAATTAAAATCTAGTTTCTAAATTGATTAAGGTCTTATGAATCCTAACTTACTTCACAACATCATGCATCGTTACTTTGCATAACGACATTGTAAGATTCTAACGATTTTTATATTTAAACGCGTTGAACGTGGTCAAGACGTGGTCTCATATATTGACAACTAAAGATTGAAAGATTTGGGCACAGAGTAATGATTATACAGAAGGGTCACTCAGGTGCACCACGCGTTCTCGTGATGACCATTATTCTAGCCAGATGATTAGGATTTCTCACTTGTTTCTAACCATTAAAATTACATAAGTCAATACTGAATAATGAATTCAAGTATATTTTGACTTAAGAAATAACTTCGGATCATGTTAAAGGTTTGGGAAAAGTCAAAAACTTTAATCATCTGGCTGGAATAATGGCGGCCACCATGCGCGGCACGACATGTGCGAGGACAAAATCATCAAAGATTCCGACAAGAGTAACTCATCTGTATATTCCTATACTGTGGTAAGGGTTATAGCATGATCACGTGTGTTCTATGAGATTAAGAGTCCCGAGGATGAGATAAAGTGAATTTTATCTAATGCGAGGGTCTCCTAATCCCATAGGACACAAGTGATTAAGCTCTAACCGTCTTAGAACATGACAAAAGCCACGAGGGATTATTTATGGTAGTGAATTTAAGGCCCCGTCTACACGTATTCTTTAGTACCTGTAAACATTTTTTCCGGATTCAAGACTTTACGCGTCAACACGTATGCAAATTTGATGCGTTTTTGTGTGTCCACACGTAGCTGCGAAAACGATACAAATACCCAATTATTGCTTACAGAGCATGCGCTTTTCCAATTAATAAGCTGGCTATAAAATGTCGAATTATCCGACAAGAACTACTGCTTCAAGGTCATCAAAGGTAAGAATGAAGCTTTTATGTTGACAGATGATGAAATGGATCTTTTTCTGACATCCGTTTTAAAATATGAAATAGCAAAAATGCTTAAGCACATATTTTTGACATTGAAAGGAGCCGTATCAAAAATGATCTCCCTCTTTCCATAATTCTTTTGATAATTTAAGACGGCAAAAATAAATCGCATAAACGCAACATTGCTCGAAAATAGCACAGTTAAAATCAAAAGAATGACTTTAGGCATCATTTAATTCCATAGGATAACGCATGATAAATGTGGATTGGATTAGGGCAGCAAGGGCGTGGGTAGATATTATATTTCATCGATTTACGTCAACGTTTTTAAATCATTCCGGTTACAGTATGTCCTCACGTGTCTGGATTTTTGCCAAGTTAAAACTCAATGTAACATGATTATCAATATACAATGGTGAGGAAGGGGCAGATTGACCTCCTCCCCCAAAAGTTATTACTCTGTCCTTAGTTATCCCTCACAGATACTTTTATCTCACTTTTGTACAATAAGAAAATATTGAAAACTTAAGATTTTAAAACTTTGAATTAAAGAAGCCCTTGAAAAACACAATCACCATTAATTCATGTCAATATTTTACTGTATATAATTTACCTGTATTTAAATGAATTACCACTGCATCACATTACTATCATATATGTTATATCATACTTATAATATTGCCACTATTAATGAAGATGACATCACGAGATTTTAAAACAAGTTTATTTTCAAAAACTACAATGTTAACCTTGACAACAATATGTACGCTATACGTACCTGCTTTTTCATAAGATGCCCCAAACTTAGAACTAGAAAAATCTGTGGAGTGTTTAAAGCACAAGGATCTTTAAGATCATTAGTAAAATGTTTCTTCAGAATAGTGACCAGGGATATACCAGGCGGAAAGCAAATTCTTATTATAAACATTAAAGCTAAAAGGATAAGTGGAATTCACAAGAAAACTCCATGTCTGTATATTTTGTGATTGTGTGTGTTTTTGTTTCTTTCGTGATTTCCACTTATCCCACTTCCTACCATCTTATCCCATTTTTACTTTCACATTTTTCATCCCACCATATAATTTAATATTATGTAAATAGCTATTATATATATAAATCCCTTTATACTTGTAATTCAATACTGTCTGATGACGTCTTGAGAACCAAGACGAAACGTTACGCTACTAATTGAATATTCCTTTTTATACGTCATTTTTGTATTGAATGGCTCTTTTAAATAAACTTTGCTGAGCTTTAATATTTATAAGTAAGTAAAATGTTTATTGTTATGTTTACAATTGTCACAAATTGAAACTGTACATTTAACGTTGTATCAACCCCAACATCAGGATGATAAATTTTATTTTAACCATTGAAGACAGAAAGTGAGAATTAATATTCTTTAATATTTTAATCAAGAAAATATTATCCAAAAAAATTTAATTCCTCAATTCAAATGAACTAATGTCAAAATCGTAAAATTCTAATTGATTTCACCACAGTTATTGCATGACATCATGATGATGTTTTCACAAACGGGAATTGTTGACAGCATATAACATTTAGTTTCTATAAGTTCATTTGTACATATAAACGTACAAAAATGATCTCTCACATTTTTTAACTAATGACCATAAAACTCGAGAGCTATGATCTATAACAGGATAGACACACGGAATTGAGGTCACAGAAAATTCCTTGTTTTTAAATGACAAACGAACGGAGAATTTATTTGAATATTTACCTGAATATATCCCTGAATGGGCAAATAAAAAATTAAGAATGCCCAGTTGAAGCATTGGACGCATTTGAGCAAAAAGAAAAGAAAAAACCCGGTTTTCAAACGTTGATTTGCCCGGCGGCTCGTGGCCACTCAGTTTTTATCACAATGACCTCATACCCGTGTATCTATAACTGTATAAACAACTGTTAAATGTTATCTATTTGTTAAATAAAATAACCAAATTATCTAACCATACATTTTTATTAAAAAGTAAATCATCAACATGAAATTTGTTCAGAGGTACAATACATAATAATAAGTTTGACAGAGCATCTTACAGCAGTAGTCAAATCTTGAGGATGCCCTGTTTAAATGACAATTCATTTATGAAGATTCCAAGTAGAATCTTAGAAAGGAATAAACAAATATTCATGATCAATTAGTATAGAAGCGCTCTTTTTAAATACAAGTCATTTGTGTTATAAAAAGCAATTATACATCGTTTCAGATTATTGTAAAACATAGATAATGTTTTAGATTCTTTAATAGCAGGAGGTAAGACATTCCAAGAAATAGTACCGATAAATTTAAAACATCTTTTGCAAAATTGGTCCAAATTTATTTTTGGCAAATATAGAAAATTTTTTAAAGATTGCCTGGCAGAATAAGTATACTTCTTCTGTAGAAAACTATAGTAGGTGGAAACAAGCAATCATCCTTACGACCATCAACATCTATGTCCAATTTTCTCAAAAGGTTTTTGAATTTACTATTAAAATTTGAGTTGATATATTTATTCAGGAACATTAAGTTTTAAAAATTGAATTCTGTACTTTAAACTCTCAACAATAGCTAAAGTTCCTGTATTGGAATGCATAGTTATACGAGACACTGCAAAACGTCTTTCCTCAAATTTAGCGCATACTTCACCACTCTTTAAATCTCTAGCAACCAATGACATATGACGCACTCCAATGCAATAAGATTTGTGTACGATTAGGTTGGATTCCAATAAATATCCACTCACATCATGCAAAATCTCATTCACATCACCGTTCTCGTGAACATTAATGACATAAATGCCTCTAATTTTGGTGTATTGGCAAAATGCTATGACTGCTTGTTTACTATCACTTATACAGCAGTTCAACTCTAGATCTTTCACAGTTACCTGTTTTGGAACAAATTTTTCAATAAAAGACGTTATGGGTATTTCTGCAGTATACCAAGGTTTCAAGTAAAGTTCATTCTTGTTATTTTCCCATTTCCATATTGTGTATTCTGTTTTGTTTACAGTTAAAATAACAGAATTATCAGGTGATACAGCTGCTGCTTTAACTTTTGAACTATGGACAGGAAGTCTTTTGTTGTATTGTATCTCACCCTTGGTAATTCTAACAACTTGAACAAACTTTTCTTTGTCAGTACAAACTAAGACATCACCAAATGTTAAGATTTTCTTAGGTTTAAATCCAATGTTAACATGCTTTGCTTGAGTAGATTCTACAAAATTTTCAGACGAAGTTGATATCTTCATAAGATGATCAGAACCATCCCATATCCACAGTAAACCATATGACCACCAACATCCTAATGCATTCTTCAGTTGCATTGGTACAGTTTGAATAATAGTGCAACGTTCAATGTTCCAAATATGAATGTTGACGTGGTCACCAACAGCGAAAGCAGCAAAAAAAGATCCATCCGGTGAAAAACAACAACATTTAATTTCAAATTCCTCAAAGATAAATGAAGGTCTCCAAAGATGATCAGTTTTGAAAACTTTAAGCTTGGAAAAATACGGCACAACGTAAAATTCCTTAAACGAGATGGGATGGACTTTTAAGATTCCTATAAACACATGGACACCTAACATGTGGTAAACAAAACACGATTTCTCCTTGATCGTTGTATTTTGTCAACTGAATGATTTCAGAAAGCTTTCCATTCTGGTTTGTATGATAAAAAATACAATCACGATAATGGTGTGTTATCATTAAATGTAAAGGTAAATATTTCTTTCTCTTTGAAAAAATATCGATTGCCTTTGGGAATTGAAAAACATACGAAAGCCGTCCAATGACTATAACAAAGAACTCTGAATATTTATCTGTGTATTGTAGATTTTGGTAATCAACAACGCATCGTTGATCAATTCTTTGCAAAGTTAATGAATTCCATGCAGTGAACACATCTTTAGAAGAAATTCCATCATATCTTGCTGTAATAAACAAACCAGAATCTGAGAAAGAGCAACGATTAACGACATCATCTGACTGTAAACATAATAACAAACGTCCATTGTTAACGTCCCACAACTTTACTTCAGTAGATCCATCACTAGTTACCAGTCTATTTCCGGTAGGTGAAAAGAGCAACAACAGATGTTTCCACGTACAAAACCATAGTTAAATAATGTTGGAAAGTCATACTTGTCATACAGGGACATAAATGTGTCTACATCATCCCACTTATCCAACCTTGAATCATCGAGTGCAGTGCCTAGAGTGCATCGTTGTTTGAATTCTGGAAGCTCAAAATAGATATTTGACCATTTTCATATCCTACAGCAAGAAGTTCTTCATTGGACGACACACAAAGAGATGTAACGTTAGCACGCAAGGAGACAGTCAAATGATGATGGTTTGTTAAATATGTTGAGTCTAAATCCTCAAACCAAAAAACTTTCCTTGTTTCAATAAATCCTTTGCCAATAATCTTCTTTCGTTACTGTTATGAATTCTGTTTGCAATAACTTGTAAATAAGCTAATCCATTAGCTAACGATGAGCTATCACGAAACTTATCCATGTTATTTGTTATTATCATTAACAATTTAAATAGTTGTTCCTCAAGTACATCTTTTCCCAAGAAAGTTTGTAGATCCTTAATAATTTCAAACAATTCAGACCTAATGGTATAAACGTTAATGTCTCCCACAATCATTAACCTCGCAAAAAACACTTTGACATCTACTGCCCAGCTTAAGTCAACATTTTCCCCACATTTTAACATATGATAGATTCCACTCTTCAAAGCATATTTAATGATAGCAGTGTTCATCTGATCTTTAAAAATGTTCATCGACTTGATGTGTTTAAACACTTTCTCACAAGCATGCCATAAGAACTTATGACCATTTGTTGGATCAACTGTAAACTCATGCTGTTCATAACCATCTGATTTCAACCAGTCAATTAGAGATTTGTGATACACGGTTAAACAATCATCGTAAACTGGCAAAATTTGAGATAACAGTTCAATGATTTTACTGCGGACTTCAAACTTGATGTCACCAGAAAAACATAAATAGCTAAAAAGTAAAGTTAATGGTAAAAACTCCCGACAGGCAGCCAACAATTCAAGAAATTGCATGAAAGTAGTTTCTGAGAAAACAGAATTTCTGGGACTTTCCTTCGTTAACAATTCTTTTACTCTTTTAAATTGCTTTGTGTAAACACGGCTTAACCCACTAGGGACCAATTGTTCAATATTCTCGTTTGTAAGTTCAATATTCTCTTCTTTCAAGCTTAGTTGTGCATGATGCGCATAAAGAAATGACCCCTCACATTTTTTAACTAATGACTGAAGAACGTAGTGATATACCTGCATCCGATCATTCAACTGACGTCTCAAATACTTGTGCAGGTCTTTTTCGTTGTTTTCATCACGAGTTGTTATTTCCACAGGATTCATGTCTTTCAACTCCTTTTGAACAGGAAGTTCTGGACGACTGGTGATGAAGATTTTTATCCATTTAGGCAGTCGGTCAAACTCTTCTCCAATCAATTCCAACAATTCACTTTTGCCATCAACTTGGCTTTCATCTAAGGCATCAATAACCAAAAGCATTGGTTCATGATCTTCCAATGAATGCAATGGATTATATAATAAAACAAGGAATTTATCGGTGATAGATTCTTTGGAATGGTTTCTCTGTAATTCTTCATTCAGTTTACTTTTAAAATCTGATATTGTATCACACATGGCGCTAGCCAATGACTCTATCAAAACTCGAGGATTTCTATAATCTGATCTATTATATCTGCAGAAATGAGAAGCAGCAAGTTTCTTCTTTTCAGAATATAGTCGACACACCTCAGCTGCAAACACACTTTTACCAACGCCAGGACCGGCAATTAAAATCATGACATTAGAAGCATTTTCACTTCTATCGTCAAACCAAGTGTCGAGTTTTTCAAATAACCACTGTCTAGTGCCTTCAAGGTATTTCTTGTTAAGATCTTCTATAAGACCATTAAACTTACACTTTCCAAGCTTCTTAACATCAGAGCATATTTTGCGCTGTATTATTTCTCTTACTCCAACAATCAGTTTTGTAGCCATCTTGTTTAATTTCTGCAACCTCATTCTTGTTGACATGCTTTCTTTGATTTCCTCTACTTCACTTTTTATTACTTTCACTTCGTTTATGGTTTTCTATGACTTTGATTAACTGTTGTTCTTCTTCATACCATTCTTTTAACATTTCAATATAGTTTGCCTCATCAGGACTGAGGGAGCTTTCTTTAATTCATCTATTTCAGTTTGTTGAATACCCAGACCAACCAATGCTTTTGAAATTTCCTGCCACAAATACTTAAACTCACTGTCATCTACACTAGTTGTAGTTATGTGGCCATACACTTTGTTTCGATAAAACTTTATTCTTGCAATATTTGCTGAGATTGAAGTATCTGAAGAGGAAGGAAGATTATCCCATCCACCATGTGGCGCTGTTAGACCACATATATTTCTCAATAAGACAGTCAATAACGAAATATCAAAATTTTTAATGTCTGGTGAACCAGTTGATGGATAAAGAAGATCCCATTGCTCTTTATTGATGACTTTTTTCTTTTTTAGTAATGTAAATTTGTTCATTGTAGAAGAATCATTAAGTTCATTGATCAAACTTGATGATAAATTGTTAAAATGTAATTGCAATGTTGTTTTTAAGGCTTGGGTTCCTTTATTTATCAAAAGTTTACTTAAACGAGATCCATTTGCCTCAATCTTCAGTTTTTTAGGTGCTGAAGCCATTTTTAAGCTAGAAATTTATTTAGAATAGAATGCTGTAAATACTCTGACTTACTTTTAATGGAGATTGAATCTTTGGTTTTAATCGTGAAGCCTTTATTTAAACTTCAAACTAAAAACCAAAAAAATAATCGTACAAAAACAAGTTACAAAATTTAAAATTAAACAAATCAACGGCCAACTGAAAAACTTATATCAAAGTTCAAATATAAAACGTTAGTAAAATCTGTGATACAATATAAAGAGTAGCTAAACAATGTTTTAAAATCAATGTTTTATAGAATTTTACTTACCAAATATGACCCAAAACGACTATTTCTACATTTCAACACTTATTCTTTCGTTCCACAACGTAAATTCAAGTTTTATATTGAAATATTTCTTCATTTTTGTCTTTCATTGTATTGCAGTGTAGACGTGTATATTCAAATGTGAAGGATGAGCTCATCACGAGATCATTCTGATTCACTTCCTAGTAACTGGATACAGCTGAAAAGTAGTTAACGATCATGTTCATTGTCCATAGATGGTTCTCACCAGATTTATGTTTTTGACATAGACTTTTATAATAAATTACCAATATGATTCCGAAAAATTATTAGAATAGAAAATAGGCCAAAATGTATCTAAATATCGATCCAAATCGCCATTTTTTATCACAGTTTGAGTTTCCAAACCAAAGATCAGCAGCTATAGTCAGACAATAGTTGGTACTACTTGAGTCAGTCATTTTTAAACGAATAAAAGGATCATTAAAAAAATGCATAAATTATGTTGAATTCTTTGTAGCTTTAGCCATTTTGTGCTCATAAAAATTGGAAAAACTGAAAACAGCAAAAGAAATGAGCAACAAACAGTTTTTCTGGCAACGTGACCTGGCTTGTCGTAAATTTTATCAATTTATCAATAATAATATGGACGATGTAAAATTTATCAGTATAAAATAGTATACGGGAGGAAATTTTCATAAATAATCAAAACAAGTGAAGTATCTTTCTCTTTCTGTAAGCATGAACATTACTAAAGAAGTAAGAGCATTGTAAAATGGGAACTATTTACGTTAAATTACGCACATGCATTTGTCATGGGAAGTTTAAAGCATTGAGTTGCTGAGGAAGACCTTCTTTCCAATCGTGGCAAAGAGGAAACTTTGTAATTTTATCTTGTTGAATGTTTAGTATATATAGAGGCTGCAAACGCTGTTTCTGGTTGTTTCAATACGCATTTTTGATGGTCGCATTTATCGACGCATTTGATTAATGCATGGTAACGCATTGAGTTGAAGTCTTGAAAAGACGAATTGGATACGCATTTTTGATTTTAATACTCGTGGTAATGAACCAACGTTAGTCGTCAAAAGAATCGTTGATTTAGCATCCCCCACAACAGAACGCTTACGTTGTGCGACAATGGCACTATAAATCTATAATTACATATCAATGTGGTAATGTATAATTGATGCAAATCGTTTGTGGTTGATTTAAATATTAAAATATAGTCGTTTTGATAGGTAAACAGATCATTTGTGTTTATATGATGAAACGCAATTTGATATACTAAGCATAAATATATATTATCGTATTGTCCAATACATGCAGCACTATTTATCTTATAGTTTCGTTTCACGTTGATTTTTCTTTTCTCAGAAGTTAGAATCGTCTTATATACGGCATAATATCATCTGTGTATCTACTGAAAATGTGGATGAACAGTCAATGAATCCAAGTGGACGAGTATTCTGCTATTTAGTCAAACCTTTGATACAATACAACGAGTAGCTAAACAATACGTCTTTAAAATCAACGTTTTTTACAATTTTACTCACCAAATATGATCAAAACGACTATTTCTTCATTTCCACACTTATTATTTCGTTCCACAACGTAGAGTCACAGTTTTATATTGAAATATTTCTTCAATTTTGTCTTTAATCGTATTGTAATGTAAACATCCTTCGAATGCAAGGGATGGGCTCATCACGAGATGTTCTGATTCACTTCCGCACTTGTAACTGGTTCAGCTGAAATGTAGACAATAATCATGTTCATTGTCCATATATGGTTCTCACCAGATTTATAATTTTTACAGAAACTTTTACGATAAATTACCAAAGAAGAGATCAGTCACACGAAGGTCGAATAAGGCTATCCATTAAACTGAGTAGCAACGTTTTTGAGCGCTTCAAAAATATCATAAAAAGGAAAAATCAACGATTCCAACTGGACAATAAATAAAATACAATATTTGTTCTAGAACTACAAAGTTTCGTCAAAGATCAAGAGATGTATGATGTAATAGGTACTAAGCACCGATCGGCATAACAGACCATCAATTTCTTATTGTCGTATTGTAAAGAATCTACGAAAATTTGACAAAACTTTTAGATTCAATACATGATTAACTTCATTAAACTCCTTGAAAAATATGGGTATGTACCTCATACGGTTTTGATACATGGTTGGATACTCTTTTCTGTGATGATTTTTGTAAGTAATTTATAATAACTTCATAAAATAGAAAGTTTGATAAAGGCTTTGAAAATTAAATTAATGTCCTGTTTTTATAAAAGATCAAATTGTCTTCCTAGCATATTTCCACCTATATTTATAGAATAGCTCTTTCCCTCGAAAGAGACATCGTTCCTGCAAGTTCAATATATTACGAGAATATTTTTTGTGAACTCTATGTTATACCTGGTGTAGGTGAAGTAATATAAAAAATAGAAAAAAATTCGACAAAAAATGTAAAAACATAGGGATACATATGTCATTACCCTCTTTAAATTCCTCAAAGATACATCATTTCCCTCATTAAATACTATAACAGTTTGAGTATACTTTTATAAACATTTTATAATTTGTATTTGAACGTCTACATCAGTATTTATACCAGTAAAGCAAGTACAAATAGTCTCGATAATTCTGTCAATTAAACGCCTCTCTGGTTCAATGGAGTCTGGTGTATCACCAACATAATGACCATAAGCAATGAGTTTCTAAGAAGAAAGAATATGAAATATAGAACTTTATATAAGATAAATACATGACCTAGATAGACATATGGAGGGATAAAGGATTTTGGTGAAAAGACACATGGGAACTTGGAGGATGGGATATGAGTAAGTACTGTGGATAGATAAGGAAAGCAATAATGACAAAATCTTTGAAGTATGGATCCTCTAGCTTTTCCTGGGAGGAATTTAGGAGTTAACTAACAAAAAATGTTCTGTAGCAACTTTATTTTGTGCTATTCAATTGTAATGGCTTAGAGACAACGCAATGACATTGTTTCCGAGATTAAATCTATTTCTTACAACTAAAGACTCCACTTGTCCTAACACATCAAACAAAAGCAACTTACTTGTATGCAGTCAAGTGCAATGGTGACAATCCTGGCACATTATTTTTCACAAACTTTTTCATTGATTAAATTTATTCCTAACAACTAAAGATGCCAAGTGTCTTTTCTGTATATTACATATTCTGTGCTTCAGCTAAGAACTTTGTTATGTCAAACTCTGGTATAACAACATTACGACAAAGCGATTTATCTCAGTATTGCCTACAACGACTGTTATTACAACTGACCTGTAAGTCAGCCATAGTATCTTCATCTTCTCACTTGCCGGTGCTTAGGAAAAAGACGACATTGTCGATCATTTGGATAAGTTCCAATTGAACGACACACTTAATGATCAATGAATTTAACAGCATCCTCTTAGTCTGCACAACTAAAATAATGAGATGATTTTACAACGTTAAAGTACATACATGAAAAAATTAAAAAATGTCACTCGGGTGTTGGTTGGACATTTCCTTATTCACGCTCAGACGATTTTTTCATTTGTCGGTAAAAATCGAACTTTTGAATAAGCCAAACAAAGGGCTAATTTATCTTATTAGAGGTCCTCTAAAATAAAATAAAATAAGCAACGAATGCAAAAAAATAAAACAAAAATGAGTTTCCTAAGTTAGTGCTATTTTTTATGAAAAATAAATGTTAACAGGAGAACTAATTAGTAACATTATTAGTTCTATTAGTAACAATTAACAACATTATTGTTTCAAACATTGCAAAAATGTAAATTTTAGAACATAAGCAGTTTCAGGAAATGTTACATGACGTCGCTGTTAACTTCAGATTGAGTTTTTCAAACGCATATATCAATTATACGTTTTGTTACGCCTTTCCAATAAACCAAAGTAAATTAAACACGTAAATGGCAGCAGGCTGTGACAACAAATTATTAATCTCAATTGATTTCTAACACATAATTACCTGGTTCGTGTTCTTCGACAGGTTCAAATCGTAAACTAGGCGTACTATGTAAACTAATGCTGTCTTGTTCTTTGGTTTCTTCAACTGTTTCTTGAGGCATTTCCTCCTCCGTTTCATTCCAACCTTTTGACGATTGCTGACCATCTTGTTTGTCCTCGTCTAAAAAATATTACGGAAAATTGTCACTTGTTACTCAAAGAATGCAAGTTGTTGGTCCACACGAGTTAAAGATTCACACGAGCTATATTGCAATATGCGAACTTTTGCTTCATATGAGCTTTTGGTTCAAATGAGCTTTTTTAATATGCGAGCTTTAGCTTACCATGAAATATTTTCCAATCTTATAAATATGGAGACAATTGGAGAAAAAATTTCCTTTTAAAAGAATTCACAAACTTTTTATTTACCTTCCGGATATTTAGGCACGATATCATCCTCCAGGTCGACAGGTGACATTATCTACAATATACGTCAATTTTAAGGGTAATTAATACATAAAACAAAAAGAATAGTTATGAAAGTTTGTCTAAAATTTTAGTGTCGGGCTTTAAAACATAAAAAATACAAAAGGGCGGATACATGATCCCGGTAGCCGGGATTAACCAAATGTTAAATCATTTTGGCAAATGGAAACGATTCAATACTAATTATCAGATAAATCTTCTTAAGCAATTTTACAATATTCTGATTTAATAACTACGCAAAACATATAAAATTAAAACAACCAATTTACCATAATTTGACAATTACAACCAGAATGACGTGTGGCGCTTCGCAAACAGTTGTAATTTTAAACCTTGACGTTTTGGCTCTTTTTAATCCCTTAAAATCATCGGGGCTAGCTCGCTATCCGGGCCAACTCGCCTCCATATAATCAGGCCCTAAGTGTAACTTACCTTGAGTGGTGATGAAGCAGGAGTGACATCAGGTGTGGGTAGACTCATTACTTGTTGGTCAGCGGGTCTCCATTTCAATAGTTCGTGAGGTACGGTTGATTCAAATATCGTCTTTACTCATTGACATGTCTTTTCCCGGACGTCTTCGGAGAACATGTTGCCATTGGATATGACGAGATTTTCCAAAAAATTGGTACCAGACCTCGCTAACTGCTCGTTATCTAAAGACATGTATTGAATGAACGAGCAAAGCAGGACATGGTATTACAAAGCATTTACAGTCGAACCTGTAAGAAACTCTGATACTTCTTGTTTACTAATTTACCTCAAAACAAATCAATCACAAACTCTCATACTTCACAAAATCATTAACTCTGATATTTCAAACCAATCAAGACATCACAAATTTCAAAACATCCTCAGCTGATGTCTCATTTTATAACGAGGAAATACAACACTTTACACACGGACTTTATTCTATGTAAAGGAAACGACTTTCTCGCAGTTTAACATTACTCCCTCCTGATTTAAAGGCAAAAGCATTCTTTACAGGTGGGTAACTTTCACAAACGAGTGTTTCAAACCTTCCATACTTGTACAAATCGTTTACACAAAATGAAATCGGTATGTGAATAGGTAATACAAGAGGATAGGAATGGATAAAGAATGAAGAGCCTACGAGTAGATATACAGGATGAAGTGACTCTAGAATAAAAGTGGATAGAAGTGAATAAGAAATAGAGGAAGATATGAGGGGATCATTGAACTAAAATACATGAAACGCTACATAAAGCAAATAATTGAAGCCAAATCTTACACCCAAACACACGTGTTTAGTGTTTCAAGATTCTCTCACGGAGTGAAAATTGATTGAACTACACACGCGTGTCTGGGTGTAAAATTTGGTTTCAAAAAAATACTACGGTTTTCTATTACAGGTAACGTTCCATGTATTTTAGTTCAATGGAGTGGATACACAATTGAAATGGATGAGTGAATGAGGAATGAAAGTGGATAGACATGAACACATGAAATGAATATCATTCCATGTGGAACTGGATAGTCGTGTATTTAAGTTGACTTTTTGCGATATAATGTGTGTTTATGGCAATCATAGACAATAAGACCACAATAACGACATATTATAAACTACGTGTTTTGAACCGTGGTCGATTACGGGAGAATAATGGACCGGCAAAAATGTTTCTGAGCCAATCAAAGCGCGCCATTTAGCCGGAAGTGACGCTTGCAATATAATAAGAGCACAATAATGACAGTTTTCTAACCTCCTGCCAATCTATCTGTCTGTCTGGTACATTTATGATGTCGAAAATTCGAAACTCGACTTTAAAGACATCACGCCACCAATGTTGGAGAAACGTGTTCCCGTATGTTTTCATGATTTTAAACATCACGGTTAGGCCTCTAGTTGATGGATGGAAAATAGCTCACATTCTAATTATAAAATACATACTAATGTATACAGTACATACAACTCAATATTTCCACCATACATTGTTCTGACGTCTAGTTTACATCTGTTGATGATACACGAAAGATCAAAAAGAACTGGAAACCAGCCTTCACCCAGGTTCTGTCCTGCTCTGATATCCCAGCATTCTCTACTCCGTAGTCCTTAAACATCTGTTTGTAAAAGAAAAGAAAACATATGCCATTGGAAAATGCTACACGAAAAAGCGATTGAAATAGATGATTTGGGTTGGATTTGATCCAAAGTGGTTAGCTTTGATGTGATTTTTCAAAATTTTAAATCATTTCAAAGTTGAAAAGAAAGTAGATTTGCAATCGTCGTACCACAGGATTTTCAGAAACAAATTTGGCGCAATTTCGTATCAGTCTTATTGCTTCCATACTCGTGTCCGGGAAACTTGCATTGCATGCGAATTCCGAGAGACACTTGACAGCATCTTGGAAAGAGTCGATGATCATGGAGAAATATTTCTCAAAAATAGTGGCTAAAAGAGAAAATGGGGGATGTGAAATTTTTACACTGATAATCTTGTGAGATAAATGAATCTGTCAAAGCTTTGATTTACAAGTAAGATTAGAAGAAAAACCTCCTTCCTTAAACTACAAACCTGTTGTTTGAAAAGCGAGTTCCACGATTCCTCATCATGATCGGACACAGCCAAATGAAAAACGGAGAAAACATTTTTTCAAGCAGATTTGATGTTTGTGGCTTGCGAATGCACCATTTGTGTGACACATCGTACGACTATATCACGAATTGTGGAAGAACTAAAATGTGAAAAGTCCAGTTGTTGATTCAAGCAAATCTTAGATTTAAAATTGCAGTCCTTGTTACCAAGTTAATAAACATATCGAAGAAAGAATTTTAATCAAATCCGTCCAATTATAACAGACAAAACAGAGCGATTGATGGAAAGACTTCCTTTGTAAAATATTTCGTAAAATTTCAACATGGAAAAGAATCTACAAAGTTTGCCACAAATTTCGTTTTAGTGAGAGAAATATTTTCAAGCTACAAGAAACTTTACATTTTCTGACAGAATGGACTCCTGCATAAACTTACCTGTTTTTCTTCACTATGTATTCAAAGGGACGGAGAAAATCCTTTTGAAATCAGAAATTTGGAAATTCGCCTTTTTCGAAGAATTTCATGGATAATTGTCGCAAAGAGTCGACACAGAAGAACGCAACTTCTTCATTAGGGTTACAACCACACTAAAATGGCACATCAATTATCTAAGACGGAGAAGTACCATAGTTGGTAGAACATTGGAGATGAAGGCATTGATTATCTTGTTTTTATACTTGAGATATGAAAGAAACTAGAACTGTGTTTTAAAATATCATCATAGTTCACAGTTGATTTGATAGTTTAGTTGATAGAGCATGGAAGACAATGATTATCTTGTTACTATACCTGAGTACATCACAACAACGTGATGTTATTATCTATGATTTTAAGATACAATCTTAGTCGTTAACAATCGCTAACCTTGTTAAAATGATCTCCCAATACACCCACATTCGTGACCATTGCAGCCGAATACGACCCATATTGTAATAAGCAATCTCTACGATCTTCTGCAGACTAAGCATACGTATCATTGTACGATTGGAAAGCTCAACTTCCGAGACTTGACGTAAACCTTCCAGGAAATCGACTTAGGAGAAAAATCGAAACACTTTGAGATTTGTATACAGGAGATAACGATACTTGAGATTTGAAAACTGGGGATTTGGATACTAGAAATTTGGTATTTGGGAACAGGGGATTCGTGTACTAGAAATTTGGGTACTTGGGATATTGAATGGTCAGTGAATTATGGTCAAGTTAGATGTATAAAAATCTTATGTAAGATGCAGTTTAATGTATACATGCAAACCTACTGATAGCATCACCATCCAGTTTCACTAGACACCAACCATAATATATAGCAAGATGATTCTCTTGAGCCAAGACTTCCCGATGGAATTACCATCCGTTTGAGCGATGTTAAGAAGTGTTTTGATCGTCTAGATGTTCTTTGTTTTCATTTCATGAATATGCGTGCCACTGGTCGCAGTAAGTAAATTGAACCTGGACAGCGCTTGTACGAAAGCATCCCTTTCCAACTACAATGTGAAAAGAGTTATTACGAGTATCGAAAAATGAACTTAATAGTAAAGAATCTCCATTCATATTCCCTAACATCATTATAACTAACTGTAATCATTGAAAAACTTTTAAGAAAAGATTATTTCACATTCACATGCATCCTGATATATCCATATATGTACACAAACAGACAATTAATTCAAAGGTAAACAAACATCTGTTTTTATTGTATACATTGAGTATCATCTTAACCTTAAATATATTTATATATATTTATGTCCGGGAAAGGGTCACCAGGGGATGAAAAGGTATGCAGAGACAATAATGTCATTAATTCATACCCAAATATATTAAAATGAACAGAATGTTGTGTGTTTATCAACTTACAGGCATGCTGAATATGCAAGATATTCGTATTGCACAGCGGATTCCATCAAGACAAAATGAAGCGACAGAAGGATCGTCGTTGTCTTGTAGATTGACGCTGAACGCGGCAAGAAACGGACTCCATGCAACCTTAAACACACAAAACAAAATGGTCAACAATGGGGACTGGGGCCGGTTGTAAGAAGCAGATTTAGCTTAAGTAGTGGATTATCTCAATAGAAAATCCAGTCAAATCATTCATTGGTCAGCTAAAATATTAGATTATCAAACAGATTTACTCTTAGTCATCGCAAACATTCATTACATAAAATCTAAGTCTTTTCTTTAACAAGATTAACATGAATGTCATCATGTTTTGGAATCTACGCCCCCCGTACTTGGCACTGTGCGTATAAGTTGACATCACAATTAACGCATGTTAATCAATCCTTACATACACCACAAACATTATCCTCCAGACTCCAGCACCCCTCGTACCTTGAACATTGTCTTCACGTGACCAATCTGTGTCGCCGTGACAAAATCCGTCTGAATATGACTGACGTCTTCCATTTGTGTTTTGGCGTTTTCCGCCATCTGCTCCATTTCCATAGAATACAACATACGACGATGTTTCTCACTTTGCAAATCTGTAAAGTGGAAGCACAATAAAAGATCTCTTTACTTTCATGAAAATGCATTGAAGCTCTCTCAAGACCAACACCTCCATCTCAAGACCTTCACCTTCATCTCAGAACTAGGACTCTACACTTCGCAGTCAAGACCTTTACCTAGCATCTGTACAATTTTTTCAGTTAGACCTTGATTCTCGTATTAATGTTCCAATACATACATGTAGCATCGTATCTACTGTTCACTTTTGGTGTATGTTTCATCTTGATTTCATTCTGTGCAATATCATCATAAATTTCTTCAAGATATTCAGATGGAAGATCTTTACTGTCATTTATACCACGATTCATTTGAATGTACTGCTCTTTCGTTATTTTTCGTTTAACCTGAAGAAAAATTTCACGTGATTACGATGTCGCATCTAAAGGCTAATTTTTCACGTGATTCCAATGAAGGCTCCATATCAACGCCATGGAAATCTCGCGTGACGACAATGGAGTCACGTGATCTTAGACATAAAGTCACTTTTATAGAAAACCATTGCAAATGAAGTAAGTCTGTGTAACCTGTGAACTATGTAGATCGGTAGTCAACATGATGATAGAATAAGCCAGAACGTAGGCAGCGTCTGCACTAGCAAATACATCGTCACTAAAATATAAATGATAAATATAAAAAAAAAGTTTATCATAGACAGTCTAACCTAACTATATCTAGACATGTTTGTACATGAGTAAGGTTGTAGAAACGTCAGTCAACATCAACATTAACAGTCCTTCTCAGGACTCTACAATCCTGGACGATCTACATCTACAAACATGTAACAATACTCCCAGTTCAAACAACTCACTTTACATCTATCTAACAGCAAATTGCAGTCATCAAAACTCGAATAATAAAAGTTCGATGAGAAAATACTTAAAAAAAACAAAAATCGTCAAAAACTAGTCCTAAATTATTGTTGATGTTAAATAAAAAAAAAAATTAACACATGGTTCATAGACAAAAGTCATTACGTAAGTTTCACTAACTAGCATGCAATGCGAGATGTAAAACAACAGATAACAAGACACAAATCATGTCCTTACTTTGGGTTCGTTTCACAGAACCTACTCGCAAACTTCTCCATGAGTCGATCGATCTTTTGCGCTTCACCGGGAAGACGGAAGTTATGTAAGAACAATCGCAGAGCTTGCACAAGATTGGTACCAGTGAAATCCAACTGATCTATATAGGCGTACATTATCTCCCGTTTATATCTAAGAAATATAGGAAGACATGAGGAACAGTTGAGGATATGACGCACAGTTGAGGATATGAGGAACAGTTGAGGACAAAACAATAAGAGATCTAAGTCTATTATTGTTTGCTTATTTTGAACAGTAGCAAATCTTACTGAATTCTGTCAATATTATCCACTGGAAAGAGAAATTTTGAGCATTTAAAAAATTGATTTGTTTTTTATGGACAAAAATAACCAAGAGATTTGAAGATAATGATTAGTTTCAAACAGCTTTTGTCCTTTTACATGGAGTTTCATAAAACCTTGAACATATTTTAAACATTCTTGATTTTACGATTAAATTTTCTGATTTACTATTTCATGTATCATGAGCAAACCATCCATGGGCTTCATGGCAAATTAACATAATCAACTTTTCTTGACTCAATTTATGTTGAAATTAATACTTAAGATGAGAATCAAACGTCTTAACGTGATTTTCACGTGATGTGAAAAATATACGTGATATTCACGTGATTGTCACGCGAGGGAGATGTAAAAAATATACTTACTATCCTGGATCACCAATAAGCTCACCAATCATAGTCTAAAACAATAAAACGCAACACTGGGTCAAAATCCAAAGTATCATTCAATGTTTCTACAAATTCCTCAAAGATAGCGTGCAAATGTGACAAAATGAAAACTTTAGTGAAAGAAGACAACATCATGTGAAATGAAACATAAGGATTACAAGGGATATAGATGGTCTAAAATGATCATCACCTTGTCTAGTGTATCAAAAAAAAAAGGATTAAAGGGATAAAGATGGACTAAAATGATTATTATCTTGTCAAATGTATCATAAACAATAGGATTACAAGGGATATAGATAGATGGTCTACAATGATCATTACTTTGTCTAGTACATCATAAACAAAAGGATTGCAAGGGATATAGATGGTCTAATATGATCATCACCTTGTCGAGTGTAACATAAACAAAAGGATTGCAAGGGGTATAGATGGACTAAAATGATCATCACCTTGTTTAGCGTATCATAAACAAAAGAATTGCAAGGGATAAAAGATAGCCTAGACAATTGGGGGTAGCATGGGTCAATAATGAGTATCTATAACTATTAAGGGATACATTAGATCATTGAGGGTAGTATGGATCATGCAGGACTAACTATAAACATCAAGGTATAGCCTTGATCCACCGCGAGACCACCAAGGGTAAGTAAGATAACTAAGGGATAACTTAGATCCTGAGAGGTTAACTACAATTGTCGAACAACTAGTTACAATTAAGAACATTAACGTGTGTATAAAAAAATAATGGAGGACCTTCGATAAATAGGGGATACAGAGTATAGAAAGATGGAATCTTGATGGAGAAAATCGTCAGTGTAGCCGATATCAAAAGAGGGGTACAATGGATCATAAAGCGATAACTTATCGAAATGTATAACAATATTATGTTTATATTCGCTACATGCGAGTTTCTTCAGTTTCATAAAGATGTTAAAACTCACCAAAATTATCGTCCACCTGAGAATCAGGTTTAAAGTAAAGATCCCTGCTCCATTCTACCATACATTTAAGAATAGAAACGAGACATTCCAGACCTTTGATACGAATACTGCATTCTTGAACCTGGAAAAATCATATAAAAATAAGACGACATTGATACTATTCATATAAAAACGTGATAAAAAGATGTATTATAATAAACATTGTCTGCACAAAATATTAGAGACATGTTATTGTCCTTTTCATGTTGATAAACTATGCTCCAGTTTTTCATGTTGATAGACTAGGTTCCAGTCCTTTTCATCATAATAGACTAAGTTCCAGTCCTTTTCGAGTGGCAAAGATATGAACAAGAGAAGTAAAGAAGTAAACATTATGAAACATATTCATCAACTTACTGGTGTCGCTCCTAATTCAATAGCTTGACGTCCTTGGGCAACTTTAGACAAATCATTGATCAATCTTTGAAAGATATTCGACAAAGCCAATTCACCGTCGTAATTTAAATATATATCAACGACCGTCTTTGCGTCTGCAATAAAGGACACGAATGGACATTAATGGCTAATATGAATGGATATTAATGGATGACAGGAAGATAAAATCAAAAATTTGATTGTTTGGTATATTGATAATTAGTAAGGGAAAGGTCACACCTCACCTCTTGCACACCCACAAGAAAATTCGAACGAGAGGATTGTGAAGACTGAATGTAGGATGGGATTTGGAAATAAAAGATGCTTAATTATTGTACAGGGTTAAGCAAACGGAGGAGACATTTGGTACAACTGGAGACAATGTTAGTGCAAGCTTTACACCGAAAGTTGATGGTTTGCACCAGCTGGAGAGTTCTCACAAAAGTCTCAAGGTTTGCATAAGCCAGTACAAACACAAAAAAACATCTTTTAGTTCTTTTGTAAATAATAGTAATGCGAAACAGACAACTTCAAGAAAAAAGTTTAAAAATTTTTCTCTAACATGTATTCATGATTCAGTTGCAAATTATCTTTGATTGATATAATTGATGTAGCTCAGATACGCACGTTGTGTCTAAAACTCACCTCAATCTGCATTTTCAGATGTGTCTTGAAGTATGACAAAAGTGTGAGAAAGATTGCCAACGATAGTTCAAACACAGCAGGAACAGATGAGACGCCATTCTTTGATAATGCGACGCATAAATATTGTTTTATAGCGTTGATAAACATTGGATGAGTACGGAAAACAGGTCCGGCACTTTGTAGACAAGTTAACAGCAACTCCAGTGAGAGAATTTTAGATCTGAGCTCAAGCGATCTGAAAATAATGAAAGGTTTTTTATCGCGAGTAAATCTTAAAGGCTAATGCTAAAATCATACTTTAAAAAAGTACTGATAGAGCTATCTTGTATATGTCAGGTCAATTTAGTTGAGTTCAATTTCTGCATGTAGTACATAAAGTTATATCAATAAGAGATGACCTTTACTGCATGATCTTTAAGAACAGTTATGATCTTAGTTAGAGATATCTATAGTATAAATAAAGTTTGTTTGATTTAGGTTTCCTTCTGAAGTAAAACTGGATCAAGAAAATATAAACGAACAGTTTGATACATGTATCTTAGAATCAAAAATAAGTCGAAGTTTCTGTAGTAAAGATATTCATGATGACAGGAACTGATAGTACAATATAAATTAGATCAAACCACTTTTTTGAAGTGACTTATGATCAATGAGAGTTTTACACATTATCAACATACATCTCAAAAAATTGTAGCTAACTTACTTAGGATCCAACGGTCCTTCCGCAAGCGGTTTCATCGATAATTTACACAATGACCTAAACACTAAGAATGCATCCTTCTGGGTGATATGAGAAAATCTTTGTTGAGGTGGCTTGCCTTCACTTGACGTCTCGCTGGGCATATCAGACTGAGACTCGGAGACGGAACTTCGTGCAGTTTCATTCCCATCATCCTCCTTGGGCTCTGAAACTTCGCTAGTTGTCGAGTCATTTGTCTTTGCTTCTGAATCAACATCAACGCTATTTGGTGGGATTACGTTGGATTCAGATGGATCACTAACATCTTGTACCTGGCCCACACTTGGGGGAATCGCCATTAACGGACTCGTCATTAACATTTGAACTTATATCGAGATGTTTATCTTTGGCAATCTTCGCTGATTCTTCACTTTCTTCATCTATATTGTCTTTTGTATTGCCACTTGCAGAAGTCTTAGGAGGCAAGTCATCTACAGCAACATTGTTTAACTCGTCTGAGTCATTTAAATGCCGTTCTTTACCAACAGACTCCGAGACATTAGTGTCAACTGTTGTTTCGACTAAATCTTGTTTTGTGTCATCGTTCACAGCATCACTGACACCATCAACAACATCTTTTACACTCTTCTCTTCAACCATTGATTCTTCATTCATGATAACTGTATCAATAACATCCTTATCTTTAACCTCTGTGGAAGGAACGGAGACTTCGCTATCTGTAAATAAAAGCCATCAAAGAATATTGAAAAATAAGGATTGGTCAGCAATATCGTCTGTAAAGCGAGTTTTGAAAACAAAACAAATATGTTTTTGCACAGGGGTTGATTATCTTGTCATAAAATTTCAGGGGAGGGTCAAACTTCCAAAACAAGTAGAAATGCTTCCTTACCGTTCACATCTTCAATTTTATCGTCGCCATGATGGATTTTACCATTTGGTAAAGGATTGATGTCAGTTTTCTCCTCCTTTTGCTGATTTCTTCTGATTTAAAATTATAGCTATCATCCTTTTCTTCATTTCCATTTTCAGTCTATTGATATACAAAATGATGCAATATTATCAACATTGACATCTCTATTGATGTACAATATGATACAATGTTATCAACATTGACATGTCTATTGATGTACAATATGATACAATATTATCAACATTGACATGTCTATTGATGTACAATATGATACAATATTATCAACATTGACATGTCTATTGATGTACAATATGATACAATATTATCAACATTGACATGTCTATTGATGTACAATATGATACAATATTATCAACATTGACATGTCTATTGATGTACAATATGATACAATATTATCAACATTGACATGTCTATTGATGTACAATATGATACAATATTATCAACATTGACATGTCTATTGATGTACAATATGATACAATATTATCAACATTGACATGTCTATTGATGTACAATATGATACAATATTATCAACATTGACATGTCTATTGATGTACAATATGATACAATATTATCAACATTGACATGTCTATTGATGTACAATATGATACAATATTATCAACATTGACATCTCTATTGATGTACAATATGATACAATATTATCAACATTGACATGTCTATTGATGTACAATATGATACAATATTATCAACA